GCAAGCCCCTTCCAGCCATAACATTCTGAAGACAACCTTGAAGGCAGCTGTGATGGCAAAGGTCAAGACATCACATTTTTTAAACCATAATTAGAGGACACAGTGATAGGGCCTATTGGACACATTATATAATTAGCCCTCTGCCTCGAGGGAGGGAGTGCCTGTGTACAATTATGCAATCACCCTCTGAAGGGAAGGCACCAGTGTACATCAGCTCACTCAGAAGAACAACTATGATTCATCTGAGCCACAGCTTCCACCTAAGAAGGCTGCCCAGGTCATTTTTGCCTGTACTTTCTCAGCACCAAATATTCGAAGAACTCTTTATTTTTGTAATACCCTGGATAACAAAGGGCACATTCACATGGCCCATTCTTACTGGATTTCTACTAGACGGGTGAGCTCTACCCCATCACCCTCAGGCCATAAACCAGCCCTCCTACGTAGGCTAAAATCCTAGTGCGACCTTTAGAGTACGGGAACGTCACCTGAGGCCTGCCGGTCTGTTGTGGAGCCCAGGGAAGTGCCATTTAAATAGGCCACCCCAACTTCCTCTGATGTCAGTGGTCCACGCTGTGAAAACCGCTCTCCGCGTTCATCGTGGATGGTTTCGGGGAGACTGTAAATGCCTGAGCGACCACCATTACCTGAGCTCAGGTATTTCATTACGCTTTTGCTGTCGGCAGGCAGCAAGAAAAACCAATGCACATTCTGCTCACCCCCTCTCCTAGTACAGAAGTAGAATTCTAGAATTTCTAAGCTGCAAGCCCACTTGGGAATAATAAGCACCCCCCCCGCCATGTTCCCCACCCTAGCCTTTGTCCCCTCATACCTAACGCTGCCTCACCGTTTGCCCTGAGCTATTACAGACTCCTCCCAGTCTCCCCCTACAGAGACTAAAAAAGGGTCAGCTCAGTGTTCCCACTACATCAAGCGTGGAGAATGAGTCCAAAAAGCAATTGAGTAAACAATGTCTTTAAGGCTCCAGGATGTTTCACAAATTAACAGTAATGTTAGCGTTCAGGTGAAATGCCTGTGGTCAGACAAATAAGTGTTGGGGCAAGCACTGGAACACCAAGGTTCTCATTCAGCAGGCTACGCGGCCACGCTCCAGGCACACATGGCTGCCATGTTTGGGGAACTCACCTAGGTCCACACCGTCCTACCCTCGTGACCTTGCAGATCTTTACCCCATCAATAAAGGGGACGGGGTATACCTGTTTGCCCTCATGTGGAACATCTCAAAGCCCACAGCCGCTGTCCCCTTCCCAGGGCCTTCCTTCGTTTTGTCAGGCTGTTCCTAAGGTGTACTGGGTCAACTGTAAACTACACTATAAATGGCCAGAGACATGCTTTTCATTTTGATCCCAGCAGTGTTCGTGATTACATCCAGTTTTGCTCTCCCTTTATGAATATAACCACTTTTTGGTCAGTCTTCAGAGAACTGCCTGCAATGATTTGGAAACCCACGCACTGCGTTATCACCTATAATTCTGGCTGCTCATCTCCAAGTGCAATTTGAGTTATTTTTTCCACATGCTTTGTTCATACAGGTGCTCTTCTGCCTCTTTTTAGCACACTTGCCCATGACGGTGTAGTAATTCATTGTTAAAAATATCCAGAAGTTTCACTACACACACGATCATATAAAAGTGTTACACTAGACCACCCTAACCAATGCCTAAGGACCTGTCCTGTTTACAGTTCTTCATTTGGAGGAATGGCATTGTATATGACCCCCTGTTTCCTGTTTCAGTTGATAGCCTCCACTCCTGAGACTGTTTCCTCTGATATCATGCTCATTAACAATTATAGTGGGAGAAAATACCTGGAAAAATTCACTATGTCAATTAAATTTGCTAAATTTTAATCGTAATTGTTCAATTGTTCCATGTTCTCTGACATCTTAGACTTGACTTTGACTTTAGAATATTTAATTATGTTGTGCACATAAATCTACACAAGCAAGGCACAGTAGGTTGACTGGCTGCACAACTGTCCTATAAATCTGAGCCATCATTTAGTCAATGCAGACCATCCTGGGAAGAATGGGATTACTTTTCCCACATCAAGAGACTCATTTCTTGTTCTCAGGGAATAACCCCAATAATACGTGTATCTACCTGTGCAGTCCTACTCTTTGGTTTCACTCATTTAGCTCTAGATCTGCAGCCTATTGTCCAAAAAAATAGCAAAGTAAAACAGCGAGAGAAAAAAAATTATTGGGCACACAAACAGTTAAAAACTCCTCTACTGGGTAAGATGCAGAAACAAGTACTCTTGAAAATACAGAGAAATTAGTCTGATAATGAAAAACCACTGAAAGCAATTTACACACCATTCCCCTGACAGTATATAAACTTTTATATACTGTACATAATTCAGTGTTCATCTTTTTTCATTCCTCCCTTGTAATCATACATCCTTCTAGCAGCAATACTGACACCTGAATCCCTTTTTCTCACTGTTTCAGGGGGATATACAGTAGCAAACAGCTATGCATTACACGAAGCTAGAAGCTTGTATTGTTTATTCAATAGAATGCCTGCAGTAATTGAAAAAAAAAAGTTAATCAAGCAGTTGTGAAACCAAATAGTCACAGAATCCAAGCACTGGTGTAAAGCTCAAATCTGTTGCTGTGTGCCCTTAAATAAACAAACTATGTGATTGCCACAAATAAAAGGGGCCTTAGATGGTAAAACTATTACTTCCTCAAAACTATGTAAGCCAAGAAAAAAAGTTTTGCAAAATAAAATTGGGTGGAGGCTATACTAAACGGGGAGCCATGGTATCCCAAAGGAGAGAAAAGCAAAAAGAAATTTCAGAAAGGATAACAAATTAGTTTAGCAAAGTCACAATGAGAGAGGGCAGACAAAAATAAAGGCAAAGGATGTAGCGTCCAAGGAAAGAGGAAGGGGCGAGTGGAAACAGCTGGAATTGTTCAGCTGTGTCAACATTCGGCTGTTTCACAGATTGACTAGCAAAGTGTCATCTGAAACCAATTACATTCCCAAAACCCCACGGACCCAGTTCATAACATTGATTAATCCACAATGTGAAAAAGTCCCCAAGCAAAACTAGAACAGCTGTCAGCCCTTGGAGCTCAAAAAACAGCAATTGCTCAAGAAAAAAAGAAGAAAAGCTCCTCTTGAAATTTTAGGGATTTTTCAGAAGGTACGCCTACTGAAAGAAAAGATAGATTTAAAACTGCTCCTACCCGTGTCTCTTTGAGAACTGACTATAATTAGAAAAATAGGGGTCATGTTAAAAAGGAAAAAACCCACAGTCCATTCCACAAATGGGAGCACAAACGCCTCAAAATCTGAAATACCTTGTATCATTTTGCTCAAGTATTTCATTTTTTTTAAAAGTATGTTTATTTTTTTTCCTTCTCATTATTTCAAATGCTTTGACCCATCTCCTTTGGGCCATGTAGCTATATTTAATATACTTTCTAATAAAAACCTTTTTTATATCTTTTGTTACATTTCACAGAGTATGCACACAGAGCCCTTTATTTGCAAACAGCCAACTTGTGCAGGAGACAAACACACAGATGGCCACCACGCCCTGCCCACGTGCCCTCTGCCCCTGCAGGAGCCTGGGAAGGAGTTCCCAAAGCTGTGGCCTTGCCTCTGAAGCTACTGCAGCTGGACATCCAGCCACCAGGTCCCTCAGAGGAGACTGCAAAGTCATGGAAATGGCCATGAAGGCACCTGAAAGTCTATTTCTAGAGATCCTAGCCTGACATCTCCACCAGATGACAGAGGTTGCAGGGGTCCCTCATCCTTTGGATGAATTTTTTCCACAGAAATAAAATGCATGCTTATGTATTCGTTCACCCAGCAAATTCTGCCTCAAACACTGGGTTTCAACACATGGATTTTGTATATGAATGAACCAAAGTTTAGAAAGGTTTAGTGACCTGCCCAGGGCCATACAACTAGTAAGTGCTACTGTTGAGACACAAACCCAGGGCTATCAAGTACCTAATTCTGAGCTCTCTGCCCCACCTCCCCTCCCCCCCAACACACAAAAAAAACAACAAAAAATATTCTACCACATGATGCTTGACATAGATTTTCATTAACTAGCTTGGGAGACCAAAAGCATACAAAATACAGTTCCTACAGGGAAATACATTGCAAATTATAAAAACTGAGTATAAATTGAACTTTAAGAGCATAAGCTGTTTATATATTCAGATTCCACTGTGCTTTGCTTGTTCTGTAAATAACCCATTAGTAATCTAATGGTCTCCTCTGTTGAAACGACATTCAGTAACTACAAGTTTTACTAAACTGAAGTATGTTTTTGATTCACTGATGCTTTTCACCCAGATACTAATGCTAGTGTCCCATGGCACCCACCAGTGTCAACCAGGACCAGATTTTTTCCAATTCAAACCATCCAGGGATATACAAACCTTGGCTCCACTGGAACATCCTTGGATTTAAAAAAGAACAGAAAAGAAAAGAAAAAAATCATAACCCACAATTCACTGCATCGGGCAAAGGAATCCAGGCTTATTCATTTTCCAGTCTTAGAACTGGAAGATCATTGTTAACTGTGGCAACAAATTATTTCAGATGTAAAGCAATAGTGTTACTAAATACCATTTTCTGAACAGTAACAAGGTCTTCAGAGCTTTGCAATAGGTAATACCTATACTGAATTTTGAAGGATGGGAAATGGGAGTAGGGGACAGTACACTCAGAGACAGAGCAATACAAAACACTCTCTGGACAAATTCTCCAGCTCTTTCTACTGTTTTTTCCCTATAGAATACTTTTTTTTTTTTTAATGTTCATGATGTCACCAATAAAGAACACCGATTGCTCCCAACAGAACTCGAACGACAGTACATGTTTATAAGAGCAAATTACTGTGTATACATGGACAGGGTTGTAAATGAGAGGAAGAACATTGCAAATGATATATTACTTAGTGAAAGCCAAAACATTTCCATTTCTTTCCTTTTTATGAAAAAATATCATTACCTGCATCATGCCCCCTTCTCTCAGTCCCCTCAATGGACACTGGCATTGATAAGCCTACAAAAAATACAACAGTAAGTTTATATTTTTATGTTGTGATTTTAGAACATGGGATAACATCCAAAGTGATGGATGCAAAATAATTCACATTTTTCATATTTCAAGCTACTCTAAGAATCATTAGAGTAGACAGGTTATAACTTAAATGCTGATTGTAGATATCATCTGTCCCAAGAGTTAATCACGTCTATAATCTTCAAGTAAATCTATACTGAAGGTGTACTATTCAACAACAAAATTGAACCTTTAAAGAACCCAAGTGAAGTTTTGTATAATGGCGGGGGTGGGGAGGGGGTCTTTTCTTTGCGCATTTTGATTAACAAAAAAGTTACCATAAGCTACCTTGTTTTTCTTTTCTTATAAAAAATTCTTATTTATAAAGCCTAGCCCTATTCCCAGAAACTCATGGAGGGTCAAGATTATAAATACAGATATCAGGCTACCATAAGGCCCTGAGGAGGACTGAAAGGTCACAATAATAGTACCTTTCTCATGGATTTTAATATTGTTTTGAAAAGTAAGTGAGTTAGTACATCTAAAGCACACAACAGGGCATGGGCCACAGTAAAAATACTGGGATAATGTTAAGTGATCAGAGTCAGTGTTTCCATTCCACTGGAGTTCCAGGGAAAGTAAGTTCCGGGAATTTAAATCTGGGCAGTTTCAATGTGATTTTATAGCAAGTGATGACTTTTATAAAGGTGTGGCTTCCTCTCCACTCCTCGCCACTATCAAATGCAACTTTTTCTTAACTTCCTGCAGAAAAGAAGTTGAGGGAGGTAGGCAGTGCCCATCTGCTCCGAACTACAACTGCAACTACAACTGGCAAAGGCCTAGAAATGGTCTCTTTTCCTTTGCTTCAGCGCTGTAAAATGGCTCCTCTGAGCAGTTTCTTGAGAATCATATGTTAAAGAGCTTTTGTTTGATGGTGAGGCAAGGTAGACGGCAGTGAGCAGGTATACTATTTGCTTCCTTACTGCTCCTGTTTTATTTAAAACCAAGACACCCAATGAGCCTGTGGGATTATTAACAGCTAACACCTCAGCCACATAGACTCTCTTAGGGTGGAAATAGGGAGTCCAGGTAGTTTCGGCCCACTTTCCCACAGCGCTATCAGTCATTGCTCAGCGGTCCACGTTCCTCACAGTCAGGAACGACCTAGCCCAAGTGCCACTGCTTATATTGCTGGGCTTGACTTGCCTCAACCCCAGGGAGGTCAACGGTATTGGCCTAGTGGATAAAGCGCAACGGACTTGTGGAGAGAGTCCAGAAAACTCCAGCACTGAAATTGTCATCTCAATTGGTCAGGCATCTGACTTAAAATAAGGTAAATATTAAATAGGACATGAGCATGTTGTCTTCGCAAGCCACTTCCTTTGTGAATACCAGTATGCTTTACTCATCCTCTGGTTAGGGCAGGGAATCCATGGCATGGATACTTTCAAAGAAAAACTGTTTGGGTTTTCTGGAGTTACTGAATTTTTTCCCACCACAAATGCCAACAATTGCCAAATTCATTACTAAATTTCAATGCGGCCCAATTCAATGAACATAAGGTGCTGTTTCTTAGTTCCTTACACCAAAGCTTTGCCTTACCACTCATAACTGAGCTGAATCATAACATATGGATGGATGGTAGTGAAGTTCCAATAGCTTCCTATTCTGGAACAATGATGCCACCTACCAAATGGAGCCTAGATACAAATCTGCAAAGGTGTGCTTGCTATTATCAGGAGGGGCAAAGGATCCCAGATACCACTTCCCAACTTTGATCCCGCTTCTCCTTAGGAACTCTTGTGATGATATGCCTAAGCCTTAGCTGCACTGCTTAATGTATTTATGCTGCCCTTAGCCCACAAACCTAAAAGAAACAAGGTTAAAGAATGACGCAATGATGTTCATTAGGGAAGCCACTTGAGAAATTAAAACTATCCACTAGTAGGCAGAAGATCTGAATACACATTTTTCTCAAGAAGACACGCAGATGGCCAAAAGGTATATGAAAAGATGGTTAACATCACCACTCATCAGGAAAATGCAAATCGAAACCACAATGAGATATCACTTTGTATCTATTAGAATGGCTGTTATAAAAAACACAAGAGATAACGTGTTGGTGAGGATGTGACAAAAAGGGAAGTCTTGTGTACTGTTGGTGAGAATATAAATTGATACAGCTACTGTGAAAAACAGTATGGAAGTTGCTCAAAACCACCATATGGTCCAGCAAGTCTACTTTTGGATATTTACCTGAAGAATATAAAAACACTAACTCAACAAGATATATGCGCCTTCATGTTCATTGCAGCATTATTTATAATAGCCTAAGATATGGAAACAATCTAAGCATTCACTGACGGATAAATGGATAAAGGAAATGGCATACAGTGGAATATTATTCAGCCATAAAAAAGGAAATCTTATCATTTACTACAACGTAGATGGACCTTTAGGACATTATACTAAGTGAAATAAGTCAGATAGAGAAAGACAAATATATGAGCTCACTTATATACAGAATCTAAAACGAACACAAAGAAATCCAAAGTCATAGCCCTAGAGACTAGACGGGTGGTTGCCAGGGGCAGGGGGTGGGGAGGTAGAGGGCAGGATGGGATGGCATGAGGGGTGAGTGAAATGGATAAAAGGAGTTTGTGGTACAAACTTCCAGTTTTAAAATAAGTAAGTCCTGGGGATGTAATGTACACTATGCTGATGGTAATTAATAATACTATCTTACATATTTGAAAGTTGCCAGCAGTGTACCCCTTAAAAGTTGTCATCACAAGAAAAAAAGTGTAACCACGTATGATGATGGATGTTAACTAGACAGTATGCTGATCATTTTGCAACATACACAAATACCAAATCCTTATGTTGTATACATGAAACGAATGTATGTTATATATCAATTATATGCAATTTAAAAATTTACAACGTGAAAAATAGGGAAACAATTTAAACCATTATGTGTATCAGGGTGGCTTAATAACGTCTTTGTGATGGCTGTTTGGGAGAACATTAAAAAAAATACCCCATTCGCAAGCCATCCATAAAGAAGTTGCATAATTAACAAAACAGATACATTGAGGAACTGAGCACCTACTCTATACAGAAGCCTGCCCTGAAGCAGCCCAAGATCCACTGATTGACTCAGACATGGAAACAGACATGTTATATGGGGCAATCATTCTGTTACTCCAGAAAGAAATCATTGTTTCAAAACTAAACCACAGGCAACAAATCTGCAAATCGGTCCAAAGGCATTCCTGCCCAGGAGCTCTGTCCTTTGGCCTGAAAGTGATACTGGTACTGAAATGCCTATATAGAAAAAAAACCACATCTGCCGATTTCTTATAATTAATCAAAATCACCTTCCTTCCCAAAACTATCTTCCTTCCCATAGAAATGGATAAAAATTTGTATTATTTTGTTGCACTGTTGTTCCAGGGGAAAGTTTTATGCAGGAGGCAGACTCCTGGAAGTGTTTCTTAGTGTTCTAAGTTCCGTCTCCTTATTCTCAGATGAGGGTTTGGTCTTGGGCTGCAACAAACTGCAAAGCGGCAGGATGTGTGAAAATTTCCAGGGTAACAGTTACATCTGTCAGACAACAGAAACTACTACTGTGAAGTTCTTTGAAACTAACTATTAATAATTGGCACCACTAAGCTATTTCTCTTGGTCTAGGGAGTGACAAAGTTACTGAGACGCAAAGGCACCATGAGCTGAGAACGCTTGGGAACCTCAGGAACATGGGAGGAGGAGGCCTTCTCCATCAGACCTCAATGTCCTCAGCAACGGGCTTAAGAGTGTCTCTGCCCTTCATCCTTGAAGGGAGCTGCTATGGGAGACTTAATCATTTTTGTCACATGTGACATGCCACTTTGGGTTTAGGGAGAAGAGATGGACCTGCCAAATTACAGTTAGAGAAATCTCTGGGACCCCCTCAACCATGTATTATGTGCCTAGCCTGTAACAGGTGCTCAATAAATGGGAGTAGTAGCAGTGAGTGGGAGGGTGCTGGTTGTGATTATTGTCTCTAGCTGAACTTGGTTGACTTAAAAAAATATAATCTGTCTGAACCTATTCTTTTCTCCTCTTTACGTCAAGAGAATACCTTTGCAAGGAGTCATGGAGCAGAACAAAGTTGAGTTGGTCAGTCAAAGTTACAATACGTAGACAAAGAAGTATGACAAACTCAGGTCTTATCCACGCACTCGGGGCTGCCAGAGGTGTTTACACACTATATACAGAGACTGCCATGCAGAAAGCACCATCTCAAGTTGTCTAGTACACACACGTACAACCTTACACACCCACTCTGCTTGGTATCCTAAAGTTCCATCTGATAGATGGAAAAGAGAGATGGGTGTCTCTAGCCAACAGTCACGTTCTTTATTGGGTGAATGTTCACATAGCACCTCCAGACAAGCAGAAATGGGAACTCAGGCAGCAATGAGTAAGGCCAGGGTTAGGACACCAAGTAGGAGAACTCTCAGGATCTCGCTCAAGAATGCTGAGGTGGAGGACAGTCCCCAGCTGGCAGGTGGCAGAGCATCCCAGTTGAAGCACAAGAGTAGTTGTGGGGACCAGGCACACATGCAGAGTCTTGGATGCCTAGTTAGTAACCTGAGGGTGGGATGGGGGTGGGGCAGCACTGAGACACACTTCAGGTACCACTTACTAGTGAGACTAGGGCTTCTGACGTGCTGCCAGGTTATGCCCAAACAAGTTACAACCCTAGCATTTGAGACCTATCAAATCCACCCATTCAACAGGCCCAGCTGGCTGGTAAGAGTAAGTAACAGACACCAGCCACGACTGGAGGTGTTCATCCATAAGCCCCTTTCCACCTCGTTTCAATGTGTGCTTCATCTTATTTGATGACTCTCCTCCGGATTTGCTCTCGACGCCCGCCTTCCCATACTGTCTTCCACTCTCCCGCTCCCTTGGAAGTGCCTCCGCCAGCAGTCGGAGCCAGCTTGCTGCCCGCCCTG